TTGTAGATGAGTGTAAACTACAGAGTCCTGACTTGTAGATGAGTGTAAACTACAGAGTCCTGACCTGACGATGCAGCTCCTCTGTGCTAAAGAAGAACCCATCCAGAGGACCTACTTATTTATTTTTCTTTTTGATTTTTTCTACCTGGATTACTGAGATGCATCAGGACATATTGTTAAACCTTTAAATTAAATGTTTTTGTCATTTTATTTAGTATGAAAAACTAATAATAGAACAATGTAGGCCTATACGTAACTGTTCTTATCCAGATGAGTATTACTGAGTGTTTATCAGACTTACTGTCTGGATAAAGGAAAGAATAAAGACATTTATCTATACACACAGAAATAATAATTAGCCCTCTCTGTTGACGTGTCTTCAATTTAAAATGCAAATCAGCTTCACAGAAACAAAAGATGACGCCACATTAGCACTCCAAATTCTACTTCTGTTGTTTTCTCTTTCCAACCCCCCGCATTTCAGCATCAGCACCACCCGCTCCATCCCTCCATGATCTCGTAGGGGCTTGCTTCACCTCTGTCATGCTCCAGCGCTTCCATCCGGCAGCGGCGCCGAGCTAACAAGTCTTTGTGAGGAGAGAGGGGGAGAGGAGGAGGAGAGGAAGGAGGGGGTTGCAGGAGCGGGAGGAGAATCAGACGGTGAGAGAGCTGACAGCATGAGGGTGCAGAGGGAGCGGGCAGAGGAGGAGGTCGGGGCTGCACAATAGTGTGTCCAGAAGCATCATGTCGCCGCCACGCCAGGGGATGCTCTGCCACCGCCGCCGCCGCCGCTGCTGCTGCTGCTGCTGGTGAAGCACCGCGTGATGCAGGGGAGCGAGTCCCGAGGACCTCCTGGAAACCAAAGGCGAGCCGAGGAAACAGGTCTGTGGTTGCGTTCGACACCGGGAGCTTTAATTACGTCACACGGTGGCGCTGGCTCACATTTGTCAATAAGAAGTCCCATGTCAGGGCTCAGGATGAGGATATGAATGAAGAGTGGGAGGATGCTCGTGCACACGGACATGTGAGCAGGTTCCTGTGGTCCAGATCAGCATCTGACAGAACGTCCACGTTCATCACACCATGCTTCTATTATTTCTTCTTTAGGAAAATGAGCTGAATGATGGATCTGAGAGACAAGACGAGGGGAAATGAGAAATTGACTTTAAAAAGAAACGAGCAGAGACGAGCAGAAGATAAACTGTGGAGAGGTACAGGACAAAGACAGAGAGAAACCTCTGCTGCGTGTGATGTAATCCTCAACCATTCCAAACCTCCTCCAGGCTCCTCTGCTTTTAACTTTACTCATTAACAAAGTTGACGAGGCTTCATGCACAATGAACTCACACTCACCCATCACATTTAGTCAGAGGTAGTGAGCGATCAACATGAAAACATATGTATGGTCATTGTMATCACGTCATATAGTAGATTTTTATTTATTATTATCAGTGTGCATTGCCAATGCAATGCACACTATTGTGATTCGTTTCCCATCCAAGTCATCTCAACTTTGCCATGCTTCTCCTCC